ATAGCATTTGTATAGCGCATATCCCCGCTCAACAGCAGGCTCTATGCACTTTACACGTCTATATTATTACCCCAGCAGACCATAGAACACTCCGAAACATTCTCAGCTTCCCGGGAAGCATACAGTGCAAGCAGCCGATTAAGCCCTCAAACACTAACAAACTGACAAGATCTTTCGCTGTCTATAGCCGGGTACCCATTCCCACCTGGGTGAAGTGAGGAAAATTCGTGTAAAGTGCCTTTCCCAAGGACACAACGTCAGGTCCCTGACAGGATTCGAACCCACGACCTTACGGTTGCGAGTCCGAGAGCCTAACCACTAGGCCACCGACGCCACATTTGATACCTTCAGCATAGATGAATACACAAGACCATTATTTCACATTCTGCTAGAACACTAATACCATGTACATTCAATTTTTGACAACGCAAAGACCATTACAAGAGAAGAATTTTGTTGTTTTGTTAGAGTGATTACAAGAGAGGAATTTTTGTTTTGTTTTAAAGGGTGATTACAAGACCCCCAGTGAAAGAATGCTCTGGACGTGCCAATAATAAGAATAACGCCAACTCAAATTAAATATGCTGGTTTATACATAATGGCAGTGAAAACACGTGTGATATGAGAATGAAACTGTCTGCATAAACCAATATCATCAATATTACGGAGTTGCACTGTACATGATACTGCAGGGGGGGAGGGGAGGGAAAACTTAATTTTAAGAAATATAAAACGAAAAAGTACATTTTTGAGAAGTCAAGTATAGCGGGGCGCCTACATATCTAGGGGACAAAAAAAAAGGAAAACAAACAAACAACCCACTTGCTTTACCTAAGAAAAGCCAGTCAAAAAGAGAAGGAACAAATTTCTGTTATTGCACAGAACCATAGAACCGCAAAACTGACCGATAATGTAACACGGCACCGATTGAAATCTTTTCATACTCAAAGTTTGAAAAAAAAAAAAAAATGCAAACTCAAAGCCAAAGTACCAATACTAATTGACAGAGGGATAACACATTCATTTCAGGCAATACAAATACTTTACACCCACCGAGCACTCTCACAGATAAAACGATAAGACAAAATGACAGTGAATATATCACATGGTGTGAGCAACCTCGTATTCTCTACGACTTGCGGTACTCTATCCTCTCAACTTTGACCTCTTCGTCGATGAGTTTGTAGATGTACGACACGACGGTCGACTGCTGAATGTCCAAGATCACAAAAGATGGAATGACATTGCTGTGGAAGAAACAAAACAAAATTCCCTCTTAATACCATTTCTGACACATTCAAGGAGAGAATACATTTTTCTGCTTCCTGTCTTTTTTCTCTTTTTTTGGGGGGGAGGGGGGGGGGGTGTCATTAAAAGTAAAAGTAGAACACATAATATATATATATCAAAATACCAGTAAAGCATTTCAGTTTGCATTGTTTTGTGAATTCACTTTCCCCCAACAAGACCACCCCGGAAATGCATAGTCCTATTTCCTACTTCAAAGACAAGATCCATAAAGTGCAACAATAGAAAGTGTTTCAACTCGGACTGTCAGTAGGTGATTTTTTCCCCAGCCAACTGTGTGTATGTATCTCTTTCACTATTGAGCAGCAAACTGAAGCACACCCCCTCCCCCACCCCCACTCACACATACACTGACCTGTCCAGAGCGTAGTAAGAGCCAATGGAGGAGCCCGGGTTCAGGACGAACTTTCCCTCGTGCTCCACGCACACTCACACACAGACACAGACGCAGACACACACACACACACTCACTCTCTCTTTCTCTCTCTCTCTCTCACACTGACCGGTCCAGAGCGTAGTAAGAGCCAGTGGCAGATCCCGGGTTCAGGAAGAACTTTCCCTCGTGCTCCACACACACACACACACATACACACACACTGACCTGTCCAGAGCGTAGTAAGAGCCAGTGGCAGATCCCGGGTTCAGAAAGAACTTTCCCTCGTGCTCCACACACACAAACACACACACACTGAGACTGACCTGTCCAGAGCGTAGTAAGAGCCAGTGGCAGATCCCGGGTTCAGGAAGAACTTTCCCTCGTGCTCCACACACACACACACAAACACACACAAACACACACACTGAGACTGACCTGTCCAGAGCGTAGTAAGAGCCAGTGGCAGATCCCGGGTTC